AATAGAACTCCAGATCAGTGGTTCTCAAAGTGGGGGGCTGGGCCCTCTTAATGGATGTTGAAGAAAGGCCCTGGAGTGAAGGCGAAGGGAGGTTTATTGGAGGGGGTACAGGGAAGTAACTTAAATTTATTTTAATATTTTATCTCTGTGAGGAAACTGCACTGATTTGTCATTTTATTTCCTCAGCTCATCGAGAAAAGGAGTTTTGTAAAAATCAATGTTCAGTTTTACTGCAAAACATAAGCAGCAAATACAGATTTACCAACATTGAAACTCAGTTTTTTTTATTTTTTTGTTGTTTTATTTTGAATCATATTATTCTTTTACACTCTGCCTCCGTCTGTGGTTTTAACCTCAGTGACAGAGAAAAGTCTGTGGTGGGAAAAATACAACATTCCGCCTCCGTGGCCTGAGTCAGTCTCATCAGAGCGACAGTAAAGCAGCACGAACCACAGCTGAGCCCCAAAATATGAGATTGATGTCAGTTATTAGTTTATTCACCACATTATTCATTGTTTTCAAAGGAAACCATCGTCCCGAACACCTGACCATTATTTCCACAAACTGGAATTATTATTATTATTATTATTATTATTATTCCTCTGGAGCCGTGTGGCTGTGAACATGTGTGAATGATCAGGTGTAATGAAACATAACTGTCACCGAGGCCTGATGGATGTATTTGGTAACACTTTGATGTCGGAGAAATAACTGGGACTCTCACTGTACTGTTTGTGCCTACACACTTCTCAGCCACATTATTACAACCACGTTATTACCATAATTACCCACTCCGCTCCGCCCCGTCATTTATAGCCCCTTCTCAGGCTAAAACTCACTGGAATGTGTCCATAAAATGTGTTTTATGCCGAGGGCAGAGCGGTAAACAACGACACTAACATTTTTCAGATTCTCATTTTACTTTAAATTAAGTTACTTTTATGTAATTTATGAAAGAGACAGGTGTGAAGAAAATGTCCGCCAACGGACTTCATCTCTTCAGAGTCATTTCCTTCTTTGACAGTGTGACATAAATGACTTCTAGCAACTAACAACCAACCAAATCTCCAACCAAATGTAAATACAAGTAAATACATAGAATGGACCAGTGATAAACTGGTGGTTCGTGGGCCGCATCTAGCCCATCAACTCGTTTAATCCAGCCCACGACTGGATTCCAGAATTGTGAGAATCAAAGAGAAAATATCATGTGGTCCCCACTGTTAAAACAACTGAATAAAATGATTTTTATTTCATTTTATTTGAAGGAGACGAAGTTCAAATCAACACTGATTTTTCTAGAGCGACTAAACTGATATCAGCGTAAATACTCTAAAGCGGGGGTGGGGGGGGCAAACTCCATAATACTACTGCAAAATAATTCTACTGCTCCAGAACATTTCTGAAATTGATTATTATTTATTTGACTTACAAATATCGTCCAGCATGGACTTTATTTCAAGGTAATTAAACACTTTTTAAGCTCTGGCAGGCCACTGAATATTCCTTGTTGGGCCGCATTTGGCCCCCGGGCCTTGAGTTCGACACGTATGCTCTAAAGAATATTTACATACTCAAGACATTTGTATGCGTTCCTACTGTGATTCAGTGATTCGTTGCTGTCGTTAGTAGAGTACGAGACTATTTTGAAAATCACCTAAAAAATATGTTGACCTTGGTGATGAAATCTTCTGGAATAAAAAAACAAAAACTATTTAGTGTGAGGAGGAACCAGAATGTTCCAGCCCTGACAGAGGTGCTGATACAAGTGTTGTTGACGGAGACTGTTATCCTCTCTCTCCCTGGTATAAACACACGTCTGCCGTCGTACGACAACGTTCAAGTTCAGTTCGTCCCGACGTCACAGACAATATTCTCTGTACACAGTTCTACTGCAGTAGAACCAAGAAATTAGTTTTAAAGTTTAATAAGTTACTGTGAACTCCACGCATTCATCGTGTGTTACATTACCACCGTACTATAAGGAAACGGCTGTAGTGTGTCTGATAACAGCAGGGGGCAGGCTTTACCCACCACATGTAAACTAATGGAGGTCCCTGTGTTAACAAGACTGTGCGTTACAACCGTTTTTTTTTTTAACTTTTTTTATTTCCCTAAAAGCACCACCGCTCAGTTTATGAGCCATTACCAGTGCGACTGCAGCACATCATTTGCTGCATGTTGTTTTACAGTTTCCTTAAAACTACTCTCCATAATGTCCAACGTGTAGGACAGACATGAACTCCCCCCGTCCCCTCCCTTGTCCCTCGTTATAACATTTACAGGGGCTTTTTTGTCAGATTTACAGGTCGACCCTTCAACAGCCAACACAGATGTCTAAAGTTAAAATCTAAAGTTATTTTAAACACTTGTCATATATATGTCGTATAAATTCAACCTCAGGCAACCAATAAACTTGAAAATGATCTTAAGGACGTAGAGGTGAAGTCTGTTAAGGTGGTATCAGAGTAGACGGGGACACGGAGGTGGACCTCGCTCAGTACAAGTGTTTGCTTTAATTATCTGCTGCTCGTTAGCGTCGCCTCTGAATCTCCAGGAACGTCGTCATGGAGCTAAAATGCTACGAGACGTCACGAGGAAGTTGTTATTAACAAACAATGATTCCAGCAGGTGGCGCTGGGGTTTATTTTATTTTTTACAGACTTGATAAAATAATATTCTTTATATATAGTATGTCCATCAATTCCTTGATTTAGAAGCCGTCTCCTTTTTCCCTGTGTGTGTACGTGTGTGTGTGGAGCCAGAGTGAGCGAACACACATCTGTGTGGTCTGCACTCCTTGTACTGCCCACCCCCCACATTGACACACACACAGAGCAAAGACAGAGGGAGGAGTGGGTTCTGGAGGTTCTTAACAGGATCTGGTTCAGTCTTTCTCAGGTTTAGAACACGTGATGAGACGGTAAACATTAGACACTGAATTTATCCCAAACAATCCACCAGGTGGCGATGAGATGAGGACTTTATGATTAGCTGAAACATTTGACACAGCATCTTCGGTCAAGGTGCCGCAGCTCTGTTGTGAGAATCCTCTTTAGGAGGATTAAAACTGTAATGAGCTCTAATCTGGGATTAATTCAAAATGGCCTCCTGTGTGAAGGCTGCAAATAATTAAAGTCAATACTGCGTGGTTTAGTGCAGACATCCAAATCATACATAAGGTGAAAACATTCACAGCTGAAGGTGTAAACACATCATGGTCACATGATCACCCGACACCCATTACTAGTATTCTCCTTTTAGACTTTTTTTTTCTACTTTGGCAGGAAACGGAAGCAGCTGATGCAGAGCCTGCTGCCTGTGGCTGAACAAAATTATCAGAGAGCAATAAAATAAAAACTTAAATCCTTAAAAGAATCGTCACATTTTGTGGAGCTCAGACTAAAGTGTAAGTGTGCAGACAGAAAAACAACAACAAGAGGAGAGAGTGGAAACACCACCATGTGTTTTTGCTCAACGTTGCCAGGTCCGATGTTTATGCGGAGAAGAGAGGAGCACACTGAGTCCAGCTGTTCTGGAATATTTGGACTCAAGGCCTTTAAACACATCCTCAGTGCAGCTCGGCACCAGCCCCGGCTGCAGCTGCAGTCCAGTCCTGCACCGCGTCCCTCCGACACCACAGCGGGGACTCTTTAGTGCAGTGTTAGGGCTGGGGGTCACGGCTGACTGTGTGTAGTCTAAGGCACTGTTTTACAAAGACTGGGTCGCGACCCTCAGGTGGTGAAGGTTTGTGACTTTTAAAATACAGGTCCCCAGAAAAGGTCGTGCTAAGACGTGCTGTGTTCATCATGAGAGCTTGGCTTCATTCTGAACGTAAATGCTTTAGAAAAACTCTTTAGCAGAATTCTGCAGTTTTCCAGGTCACTCACAAATCATATTAAATTACTTTTTTCCTTCTTTCTACCACCTGAATGGCATCCCTGTCTGATTTGATACAGCAGCCATTTGATCTGCTGCTGATGGACTGGAGACCTCTGACCATGCTGTGATTTCAGGGCCCGGAGCAACCTGAGATGGAGCGTCTAAAGTTCTGAGCCGGTACACGGAGGCGTGAAAGGCCGGTCTAACTGAGACAAAGTGTTCATTAATCATGGTCTCACTGAGCTCGATTAAAGAAACACAGGCTGATCTCTGAACCCAGCACAGCATCGGGCTCCAGATGTTCTCACCCAGAGACACACACACACACACACACTTTCAGTGACAGCATGTACAAACCCACATGCACTCAGCACATGCATGTAACATCACAATCATGAATCTGCCCTCAGATGACCAGATGGTCTGTGTGGGTTTGTTTTAAAATACTTTAAGTAGAGTCAAAAAGATTCTGATTTGTCAACAATCAATAGTTTAGTTGTCACGTGATCAGTTACACACATACAACTACAGTGACGTGAAACACCGAGTCACTTCAGCTGAGCGTCAACTGCAAAGGTGTTTTTATGGCTGTGATAATTGATACAGTACCGTCCGCGTCCACGAGAGGGAACCATTGGAACAGTTTCATTATTAAACATACTCGTCCAGATATTAGATTAAAAAAACATGGCTGTTCGATATAAAGGCATTATTTGATCATGAACAGACTGAGATTTACCTTGTGTTAATTGATATATTAAACATGAAAAAACAGATTAGATAACTCATATGAAAACAATAGTTTTAAAACGTTTAATTTTTAACCTTCTACGTCAAAAGTGGCCGCTCGTGTCATTGGACTGTAATAAATAATAAGTAAGTAATAAACAATTTAAAGTTGTCAGTGAACAAGTGTGTGACGTATTTAATTTCGAGGACATAAATGAAAAAATTCGGTTTTAATTAAAGCAACAGCACCCCCTGCTGCCATATATGATTAGCACCACATATTGTGTATTTCTGAGTCCTAAATGTTAGGAATAATTTAGTAAAGTGACCAATGTTTAGTAAACTATTAAAGGTTTAGAAAATGGTTCAGGACGAGATCCAAGGCTTACCAGCAGTAGAAGAGACGGAAGTCGAACTTCATGTGACGTTTCATGACAGAACAGCATGGCGAGTTCCTTCCATGGAAAGAACACCAATTAATTGTGACATTGATTAAATATGGCAGAATAAACATGTTACAAACTTTTAAACAACTCAGTTCTTAGAATATAAGATAAATATAAACAAACAACCAAAGAAAAACAGCAATAACCCACAGAAAATCCCAGAATACCAAATTAAACATCGTAAACATCGTTAATAGTGGAGGGAAATGTAATATTTTGAATATGAAAACGGACACACATTTCATCAAAATTGAACACAACAAAAATAACATAAAAATCAAATTCAAAATGAAACACAGAAGTTTAAAGAAAGGATAAATCAGCAGTGAACTGCAGTGAACCGCTGCCCAACAACAACAAACAAAAACAGACGTCAAAACGGGTCACGCGGTATTTGGGAGAATTTCCTTTTCTTTTTAAATCATCACAGAACAACACGTACATTACAACACATAAAAACGTGTTTTAACTAATTCTACTGAACAACTGCGGTGTTGACACCAAACAATTCAGAGCACACGTACCTGACAGAGAAACCGGAAGCAGGGGCGGGAATTCCGAGCAATGGCGGTCCGAGCTTATTTGGTGTCCTGAGACAAAAAGATCCCCCAAAACCCCCTCTCCTCTCTGCTCCACCCATCGACAATCCCCATGAGAAAAAAACAAACAAAAAACATTTACGTTCACACGAACAAACTACGAACTTTACACGTCATCCCAAACTAAAACTAAACTAAAACATATAGCACATAAATTATAAAGTTAAATAAAACATCAAAATATATATATTACATACTATATATTGCAGTAAATATTTTCTAAAGGCTCTGGTGTAGAGAATATGGAATTTCTGCAGAAATTCTAATAATCTAATAATAATATATGTGATAAACTAAAGACTTTATGACAGTGAATCTGATGTGTAAGAATTTAGATTGGATTCAGAATTAAAAAACTGTTGATCATAATCAGCGCAAAGTCAGAAGTAAAGAGTCACAAAGACAACATTTTTGATTAACTATTCTACTGAATAACTTTGGTGGGAACATGTTCAATTTCCTGGATATCTGGGTGAAAGTTACAAAAGTTTTAATTGGGACCCCCGCAGTGGTGACCATGTGACGTCCAATCAGATCTCTGGACACTGTGTAAACAAAAGTGATCACACAGTGTTTTGGACATTAAATAATCAAAACTGACACTGAGTTGGACATTGCAAACAATAAAAACAAAATCCAAAACCCTTTGGTCATGATCTCATTAAGTCTCTTCTGCAGGAAGTCCAAACTGGACACCAACTGATGAAACACTGTGTAGGAAGTTGTTTTATGTGGTGTTTTGTGTGGATGAACTGCCTCAGCATCCAATTTAGGAGGACATGTCCCTCCAACCCCGACGGCGGCCCCTGCTGTCTGCTCAGATGAAAGCAGGGGAACAGTGACAGGCAGTAAATGTCAGACCGTGGGTCCAGTGGAGGCACCAAGCACCATCCGTCTTCTGGGGTGAGTCACTGCGAGGATCCTGCAGTGTAGTGACGAGAATATTGGAGAACTCAGAAGATTAGTAGCACCGGAGAAAGACGATGGAGGGAAACTTTGTCACTGAGCATTTGTGCAGAATTTTGAGATTAATTTTTTCTGACCAGACGGAGGGGGGGTACACATGGACAAATGGGCAAATGTGGATCAATAGTGTCTCTGCGCAGACGGATGCCAAAGGAGTCATTCAGGGATGGTGAACACAGGAAATGCATTCACCGTCTAAATAAATTTAGATTTATTGATTCCAAACCACTGCACCGCGGCACACTGGTGTGCTGCAGAAAAAAATATTATTTATTTATTGCAAATGATTTTATCTTTGTTCATCAATACATAGTGAGAACAATGTGGGACTTTCTTCAATTCCTGTGAGTATATCAGTGTTGTCTTCAACTAAACAGGCTGAGATTTTACACTCAGCCTGTTTAGTTGAATTTTTTTTTAATTTTTTATTTATTTTATATTTTTGAATTCACACGTTAGAAGAAAAAAACATACCGTTATTTTTTTTAATTAAAAACGTTTTATTTTTTATTATTATTTAATTGTATTTATTATAATATTTCACACATGTAGCTGCTATCCAACTTATTTTCTTATTTAATCTGAAAAGTTTGTATGAACACATGATTACTGTATATCAGGGAAACATTTAAAGTTTTGTTGTTTGTGAAAAAATGTCCACATCAGCCCACGATGAAGGTGAAAACACACAGAAGTCTGAGACTCTATTGAACATCAGCATTTATTGCCTGTGGCCACAGCACAACTTGACTACAACAACAAAACAAACTGCAAACAGTCATAAATAACAATGTAAATCCCGGCACAGTAATTCAGAATACCACTGTGATACAGATAAGTGTGTTTTATTTTTGTTTTGTTTTTTTTATAGTGTTTACAGCTACACGTCCTGCTAACATTGACACTGACACAGAGTGTTGAGATATAACAAAAGAATAACTTTTCCATGACAGCGGAGAATACTGTGTATAATTCAACAGGAAGTTCTGGTACCACATCACAGATACACATCCTGGACACTTCTCACGGCAAATCTGATTGGATGGTGTGCCAGCGAGCGGTTTCTACCTGACCCCGGCTGCACATCTCCTCCCAGTGAGTCTTCCCTGTCTCAGGAGCAGCACTGCCGATCGACACGCACCCCAAAATGCTGCTCTTCGTGTAGAGACGACCCTGCAGATACAAAAGTTATACAGATGAGAACAGAGATGAAACATGAAACAAGTCCTGGAATAACTTCCTGCTTCACTCCTTCAAAAAACACATCTTTTATGAATAAACTTCTAAGATTTATATTTAATATGTATGTTATCAAAAGTTGTTTTTCTTTTCTCACCTGCATGATGATGAATTCAAAAACCAGAGGCAGTTTGGTGATGTCACCAGCGGGCAGGTCGAAGAGGAAGGGAGCGTTCCAGACCGGGTTCGGTCCACTCACGCCTTTGGTCTCCTTGGTGCAGATGACTTTCCCGTCCTGTCGCAGGTTAATGACGACGTAGTGATCTGTGGATAAAAGATGGAATTACAGTCACCGTGAAAATCTTTGCTTCCTGTTCATTTTTCCTCCTAATCCTGTTTGAAACCTGGACCATTTATTTTATGTCACGTATCCACGGTGTCAAACTAATTGGTTCTGTAACCATTAAGATGCTGCGTGTTACTGTCAGATAAGAATCTTGTGCTTTTAGTTTTCACAGCTTTACAAAAGAGGGGAAAAAAATGTTAGTTTTTATTCTGTGAGACCGGTTCAGGATGTTGTTTTTTTTTTTTTTCGACAGGAGGAATTAAAGCTGACAATATATAAAAACCAGAGTCTTAAATCAGACACAGGGAGACGCAGGGCTGACAGGAGGGGAAATGACACCGGGCTCATCGGTTCCTGATCTGATTAGACTGCAGGCCAATCAGGGAACCACTTCGTCTTCCTCTGGCCGACACACTCTCCGTGTGTCTCCAGGAGAGGAAGAAAGAAAATAATTTTCCTAGATTTAGGTCTCCAGGAGAGGAAGAAAGAAAATAACGACTATATTTTCCTAGATTTAGAACTATGACAAGTCTAATAAAAAAAAGAAAAAGTTGCCAGATTTGATCAATTAAATCAATGACTTTGCCTGAAGGGAAGGTTGTTCCTCAGGAAAGTAGCTATTTCAGAAAATGATTGTTCTGTCCTACGGAGAGTAATAAAAACAAAGTACTTAGCATTTTAATTAAAAGAAAAACCTCTGGAAATTCACTTTTCCCCCCCCTTCACACCTGAATGCGTTTGTTTAGAAGATTTCACTGATGTTTGATCGAACCGAGATCCAGGGAATTTGGAGGACAAGTCAAAAACACAAGGTGGTTTTTATGTTCCTCAAAACATTAATGGATGGACGGAGCTCCAGTAGCTCAAACCAACATGAGCGAGTCTTTGAGATGCAATCGGTCTTGACAGATGACTGAGAGGCACAAGAGCAGCAGTTACAGAGTTGCTCTCACCCTGTCCTTCAGTCCCTACATTATTACAGCCTCATGTATCTTCTAAAATATCTTCTAACCGGTGCCACGACAAAGATATAATCAGTGTTTTTCCCTGTAGTCGTCAGAGGCCACAACGTTTTGTCCATGAGCGTCTGCGTCCTCACCTGCAGCTCCTGGGATCCGTGTGAGCTTGGCCAGATTCTCAGCCTTCCGAACCATCACCTTGACCCGCTGGGCCAGTGTCTGGTACTGCAGCAGGATGAACAGTTGGCCCAAAGGCCGGGGCGTGGCCACTGAGGTTTTTCTGTGATCCAGTGTTTCCTGGGAACTTACACTCTGAGGGTAAAAACAGAAGAAACACAAAAGTAATTAAAAATGTGAATGACTGAGTGCAGCTGTGGTTGGAGGGAGAAAAAAAAAGTCAATTTAATGTTTTCAATCAGCAGCGTTAGGTCCATCCTAAAATAACAGCCAACACTGGAGCCCTGTGGTTGGAGATAACAGCTAATGTGTAAGAGTCGAATCTGATTTCCTGTCAGAACCCATTAACTTGCATTGTTTTGGGTCCAGTGAGTCACACCACGCAAACTGGTTGAGCGTTCGCCCACTGGGGACTGGCTGAAGGCAGGCAGCAGAGTGTGAAGACGATTTCCTCCAACAAGTGAGTTCTCGCTTCACCGCTCGTGTCTGTCGCTTCGTCTCTGCTTCAGCTGAACATCAGCTGCAGTGAATTCGCTTTTGAGGAGCTGTAGTAAGAAACAAGTGATTTGATTCTGCAAAGGACGACCTCAAAGATGGAGAAAAATGTCAAAACTTTGGAATTTGATTGGGTTTCTATAATCAGTTGCAGCAACTACAAATGTCAGATTTGTATGGAAATATAATTTTTTTTTCAGACCCCGTCAGCTGAACCACAATGTTAACTTTGAGGTATACTATAAATAATCATAATAATAATAACATTTTATTTCATAAGCACCTTTCTGTCACCCTAGGACACCTGCACCTTGCGATGAATATTTTATTGGTAACAGCCTGAAAGTTCTGTCATTAGACTGGAGGCTGTTGGCTGTTTAACTCATTTCTCTATAAAAAAACAAAACAAAACAAAACCCATTTGTATCTAAAGTTAGCCCACCCAGGTTCATAATGAGAATCAATAGCACCAATGTGGTGATCAAATAAATGAAGCTCAGTAAAACAGCTCTGATGTCATTCATTCACTTCAGTTGGCACTAATGAAATCCAGACCCAGTTGGTCCATTTACACTGATTATTAATTAATTAATTGGTTGTTTTACTGTGAATTAAGGAAGTGGTTATTTTTAAAAAAAATATTACATTAAACGCCACCTTG